GTTTACTAATCTCTTTATATTTTTTTTAGAAAAACAAAATAAGACCTCAAAATGAGAAGAAATTATGATACACCCGGGGGGGGGGGGGGGCTGCTGGTGTGCACAGAGCCTTCAGGGCAGAATGTCAAAGACAATCATCCAGTAGGGGCTTTGGCCTGTCCCCTTGGGCAACTGGTGTCTGTGACCTTACTAGGCCCTGCAGATAGTCAGACCCTATCCACAGCACAGCTGCACTGGCTGAAAATATATCTGAAAGGATATAGAAGGATAGAGCTTTTAAGGGAGGCCCCATGCATCACGAGTTAGAGGATGAGCAATTCAAGTCACTAAGAAAGCAGTAACAAAGGCTTCCTGTTCCAAACAGTGCAAGGAAGCTAACCTGCCTTAGGAGAAGTGTACCAAGCCATTTCAGAAGAATTTCCTTTACAGAACATATGAACAATAAAAACAACTTTACTTTTAACCACATATTTTTTCTCAAAGCCTCAAAACTATAGTACTTACAATTCATTTCATAACCAGAAAAAATTGATAGCATGTTGTTTGCAAAAGTCAACGTATATTTTAAGCTATGTTTTTAAGCATAACAACAGTCACAAAACTCCATTTTTCAGGCATCTGCTCAGTACCACACTACTTGCCTGTGTTAAGATGTAACTTCTTTGTGCCTCTTCTATGTCAACTAAGCTGGCATTAATATAATCATTTTCAGTATTCTGCAGTTTAACACGACTGTGATCATCTGAAAACAGAGAATGATAAATTTTAACTGTCATTTCAACTTTATCATTCCTTTTTGCTTAATGTTAATGTCCTAAGGTATTTACAGATATAGGAGAAAAAATAAATTAGTACCATAGAAGAGTTGAGTTGAAACAAACCCTAAATTACTCCCTATTTAAAAAATATTGTGTGTATGGGGTTCTTTGTGACAGGGTTCTCTGAGCCCTAGCTAGCCTGGAACTCCCTATGTAGACCATGCTAGCCTCAATGTCACAGAGATTCATCTGCCTCAGCCTCCCCCAAGTGCTGGGATTAACCACTACATCTGGCTCCTATTTTTCATAAGGAGTCAAAACATAACTTTGGCATAGAGGTCTTGGAAAGAAGTGCTTCTGTTTGTACTTTATCAGTTACAACAGCCTGAAAAACTGACCAGTGTGGAACACAATACAATGAATAAAGCTACTTAGCTTCCTAGAAATAAAAGATCATTTCCATTATCAGTGCCTAGGAACTGAACTGTCCATGTGCAAAAAGATAATTGACCCCAACCAGATGAGACTAGATTCCATTTCCTTCATTTCTTGGTAGGTATGTGTCCAACTATATTTAAATTTTGTTTCGTTTTTGTTTTGGGACAAGGTTTCTCTGTAGCCCCAGCTGGCCTAGAACTATGTAGACTAGAATGGTCTCTATCTCATGGAGATCCTTCTACCTCTGCCTCCCAAGTACTAAGATTAAAGGCATGCACCACCCCACTTGGCCCCTGTATTTAGAACATTAAATTCTTTTAAAGATCACAAAAAAAAACTTCATTACTTAAGACTGCATTAATAGGTTATACACCTTTGTGTGTGTGTGTGTGTGTGTGTGTGTGTGAGACAGGCTCTCTCTGTAGCCCCAGCTGCCCAGCTGTCCTGGAACTCACTATGTAGACCAGGCTGGCCTTGAACTCACAAGAGATCCGCCTGCCTCTGCCTCCCAAATGCTGGGATTAAAGGTGTGCACCACCACGCCTGGCCAGGTTATGTACATTTGAAAAATAAGAGGGCGGAGAGATGGCTCAGTGGTCAAGAATACCGGCTGTTCTTACAGAAGACCTGGGTTCGAATCCCAGCACCCACATGGCAGCTAACAACTGTTCATAACTCCAGTTCCAGGGGATCCTCTTCTGTCCTCCGCGGGCACTGCAAGACATGGGCGCACTTACCAAAATGCAGGCAATACACGCATACACATAAAGTAAAAAAAACAAAAAACTAAAAAACCCTCAGGGGCTAGAGAGATGGCTCAGAGGTTAAGAGGGGCTACAGAGATGGCTCAGAGGTTAAGAGAGGCTAGAGAGATGGCTCAGAGGTTAAGAGAGGCTAGAGAGATGGCTCAGAGGTTAAGAGCACTGGCTACTCTTGCAGAGGACCTGGGTTTCCTTCCCAGCACCCAACATGAGGACTAATAACTGTCTGTAACTCCAGTTCTAGGGTATCCTATGCCCTCTTGTGGTCTCTGTGAGCACTGCACACATGTGGTGTGTTTACACATATGCAGGCAAAACACGTATAAAATAAAGCTCGCAGATTTAGAATTCATACTAATTTAAGTATCTGAAATGCAAAACCTAACTTTGTGTCATTTAGATGAGAAAGGAAGAAAAAAAAAACATAAGAAACACTTAGGCATTCATCACCAAGATTAACTTTAATTCAGATTCCTAAACATAAAAAACATCACAAGCATAAAACTAACAAACTTCAGAGAATACATTCTATTATACCCTATTTTTCTCAAGGAAATCTACCCTAAATATCCACATCAAAAAAAAGCTGGGTGTGGTGGCACATGCCTTTGATGCCAGCACTTGGGAGGCAGAGGCAGAGGCAGGCGGATCTCTGTGAGTTCAAGGCCAGCCTGGTCTACACAGTAGTGAGTTCCAGGCCGGCTGGGGTTACAGGGAGACTCTTATCTTTAAAAAAAAAAAAGAAAGAAAAGAAAAAAGATAGTGTCTCATGTAGATTGGTCCTAACTGGATATGTAGCTGAGAATCTGAACTGATTCTTCTGCTTCTAACTCCCAAGTGCTAGTATTACAGGTTGGGGCCACTTTCAAACTAAAAAACCCCCTCTGTATCCTATTATCTCCTTATGAAAATAAAAATGTTAAGAGGCTTTAGTTTCACACATCAGTTTATCCATGATGTTTCTGCTGGACTGAATCCAAGGCCTCTGTAAATATTACATGTCATTTGTCAATAGGAAAAACAAAGCTCTTGTTATAGTAAATCACATATACTAGTGTTCTGGGAAAGATGATGTCAGCAAGCACTTTTTTTAAAACAGTTTAATCACTCTTTAACTGTTATATTATACAAAATGGTAGACAGATAGCTACCTTATTAACAAAATAAGAATAAAATAAGAATGCATGCTTTTAGAAAGTATCACAACTGCCCAAATCCAGATTCCACTAAAATATCTTGTCAAAGGAATGCATTTATTCATGTTGCAATCACAGAAAGACTACAAACCAAAAGGCTACTCACATATTATTGCACAACTGAATACAGCCTTTTGGCCAGCATGCAACCCAGAAGGTTAGGCTCCACAGGGTGCTGGGAATTCCGCTTATCCTGCATAATGCCTTCCCAGATCCTGGCAGAGCCAAGCAGATACACTTGGAAAAAGACTTTAAGCAGTTTAACAGTATTTGAAAAGATTTCCTACTCTTGGAATTCAGTTATTTGCCTTCAGTCTTTAACATCTACACTACATGGTACCCCCCCCCAAACTTTAGAAACACAATAATCACACACAAACACTAAAAGCACAGTGGGTCAATGGATACTATCTGAAAGCCACCAAAAAGTCCTGTATATACACAGGGCTCTGCTTCTTTGTCTAACAATAATTTACCTAGTTAGTAAAAGTAAAGGGATACTGAACATTTACTAGGGCTTAAAAAGTAAGTTTTAAAATTTTGTTAGATGACCATAAAAAATACAATTTAAGAAAACTCTACATCTCTTTAAAATTAGTTACAGTTGGTGGCTGAACTTGTATTTTCTTATCAAACTGTCAGATACATAGCTATAATCACTATTTTAGCTCTTTATTAAGATTTACTTCAAGCAGAGCATAGTGGCACTAGCCTTTAATCCCAGCACTTGGGAGGCAGATGGATCTCTCTGAGTCCAGGATCACCTGGTCTACAAAGTGAGGCCAGCTAGAACTACAGTATGAGACTGTGTAAAAATTGAGGGTGAGGGGGAGAGGGAGAGGGAGAAGGGGAGGGTGAGGGAGGAACAAATCAATAAAAGAAGGGCTGGACAAAGTGGAAGTGTAACCTGCAAGAAAGGGCTGTGAACAACTAACTTCGAAGAAGAAAACCAACAGCTTCGGATCACTGAGAAAAAGAGAAATCCCTAGTTGACATTCCTAAGCAGTGTTTAAGAGAAATAGAAATTCAGAGTGAAAATCCCTTTCCTTTCCAAGAAACCAGGTGTATCCTAACCCAAAATCATGTACAAAGGAAAGGGAGTCAGCCCTTACTTTGGCACAACTGAGTTTAAGAATTATAGATCACTGACACTCTAATGAGACGTGACTTCTCTGGCATCCAGCTCAGATGTGTTGTGTAAGATGGATGGGGTTTTTCACTTACAAACACAAAGTCAGGGATGGTAGGGTGAGGGTGGAGAAAGGAAGTGTGAATATAATAAAAATTCACCATATGAAATCTTCAAATCTATAAAACTCTCAACCTTTAAAAAAAAAAAAAAAAAGCAGGGCTGGAGAGATGGCTCAGTGGTTAAGTGCTCTTGTAAAGGACCCAGGTTTAGTTCCCAGCACCCACACGGAGGCTAACAATTGTAACTCCAATTCCAGGGGGATCAGATGTCCTCTTCTAACCTCTGCAGGGATTGTGTGCATGTGGTATACTTACATGCAGACAAAACATTCATATACATAAAATTTTTAAAAAAATTTTTTAATGAAAAAAATTAAAAGCATATATACACCTTTTGATTCAGAAGAAGAATCTAAAGAAAAATATAGGCAGTGTCTGGTGTTAACTGAAACACATCACCTTAAAACATCTAAAAAGATCGTACATATGTACATTTCAGGAAGTGAAACTATGAAAGCCTTCTTATGAGAAACTGTGACTTTACAACGTACAATACTCAGCAAAGATAAAGGACCCTGCCTCTTCACCTACTAGTGATCACTTAACATATGATCAGTTTGAATAATCAGTGAGAGTAGATGCAGATTCCCTGACAATCAGCAGTGTCAAACACCTCCTTTCCCATTACTGTAAGTCATCCCCAAACTTGTAAACTGGTCATTAAAAAATTTTTTAAGTTTATTTTTATTTCTCTATTTATGTGTATATGTGTGCCTGTGGAGGCCAGAAGAGGGAGTCAGATTCCTGGAGCTGAAGTTACAGGGAAGTTGTAAGCCACCAGAAGTGAGTGCTTTCCCAGCAACTGAACTTGGTCCTTCTCAAAGAGAAGCATTTTAACCGCTCAGTCATCTTTCCAGACCCTGAACTATTTATTTCAAAGGAAACCTTTGACTTCTCAATTAGAAAAAAGCAGAAAGTTAAATGCTGTCTTTGTCCATAGTTTATTCTGCTCAGAAATCTCTAAAGTGAGATGATCAAAATGACAAGAGTTCTACACTCTTGACTCCCAAAGTCTACAGTACTTGACCAACATTCTATGGCTATGGTTATTTCTCTGACCTATCTTTTAAAGGATGCAGTAAAGGGAAAGAAAGGAAGATAGTACTAACTATATTGTATGAAATACCACAAAAGGCAATGAAACCACACTTCCCTAGGAAATCTTGTCAGTATCTAATAGAACCACTAGCAGCACTATGACTATTTTTTCCCCTGTAGGTTACTATCTGTTCTTAATTCTTGTCACTGAGTGAAGAAATTCAATGTCTAACAGAGGTTTAACTTATAAACTGGATAAACGTTAAGTCAGCCAACTTCTAATGAAGTCTCTGCCTCCCA